TTTTGCTTGTGATCTTATCAACTAATTGCTTGCAATCCATCTTATTCTACTCCCTTGATGTAAGAGGAAGGCCTAGGTACCTTATAGGAAAGGTCCCTAAAGTGAACCCAGTAATCTTCAGCATATTCTGCCTTGTCACCTCATCTACCCCTGCTACAAACATGCTAGATTTATCTATGTTTGCCTCCAAACCTATAACATCACTGAAATGCTGTAGTGCCTCCATCACTCTAGCTATGGATTTCAGATTTCCTTTACAGAAAATCATCAAGTCGTCTGCAAATACTAAGTGAGTTAGTTTTGTTTCCTTACACATAAGGTGATATCTGAAGTCAGGGAGATCACTCATCTTACTAAGAACCCTTGACAGATATTCCATTACTAGAACAAATAAGAGGGGTGAGATAGGATCCCCTTGCCTAAGCCCCCTCATGCCTTCAAAATAGCCATGGTTTTCTCCATTAATTCTAATAGAGTACCGGGTTGTAGTCACACAAGTCATCATCAGTTTAGTGAATGAATTTGAAATCCAAATCCTTTCAGAGCTTCCTCTATGAAATCCCAGTTGATCATATCATATGCCTTTCTCAAATCAATTTTCATAAGGCACCTAGGAGATCTTTTCCTATTATAGTGTCTTAGTAAGTCATGGCAGATAAGGACATTATGAATCAAAGATCTACCTTCAATAAAAGCTGCCTGGTTTTCAGCTACTAGTATTGATACAGCTTTCTTGAGCCTCTTGCACAGCATCTTCGAAATGCATTTGTATATGACATTGCAGCAAGAAATTGGTCTGAATTGACTTGCAAACTCTGGGACTGAAACTTTGGGGATAAAAGATATTACTGTTGAGTTGACTTGCCTTAACAATTTGCCATTCTCCATGAATTTCAATATAGCTGCTGTAACATCATTACCAATGATACTCCAAGCTTCCCTATAGAAACCACTACCATAACCATCTGGACCTGGACTTTTGTTCACATCTATACTGAACATAGCCTGTTTCACCTCCTTGACTGTGAATGGTTGTATGAGTTCCATTTGTTGTATAGCATTCAGTATAGTGCCATTCTTCAGAAAGCTATTAAATGCTTTTGCTCTTCTTCTTTCTTTCCTTCCTAGCATAGTTTCATAGTAATCTACCAGAACATTTGCTATGCTTACATTATCTGTTGCTAGTTCCCCATTTTGATCCTTGATCTATGTGATGGCTTGTTGCTGTATTTTGTGTCTGATTACTAAGTAGAAGTACCTAGTGTTATCATCTCCTAGCTTAATCCAGCTTGCTTTGCTCCTTTGTAATAGAAACATTTCAGCTAGATAAGAGGAATTCCTGAATTTCTGGTACATGGCTGTCTCCTGTTCTTGTAAAGATTTATTCGAGGGGTCATAATGCAATCTATTCTGGGCTTGGTTTAAAGCAGCCCTATCTTCCTCAGCCTCTGTTAAGATATTCCTGAAGTGCTGTTGATTGAGCTTCTTTAGTGCCTTCTTTAGTAGCTTCAGTTTCTTAACTACTTGGAACATACTGCACCCTGCTATTTGTCGCTGCCAACCCTGTGTTACAACCTCGTTAAATTGTGGGTGTACAGCCCACACATTGCAGAATTTGAAAGCTATAGCCTCTTCCCTCCTCCTGTATCTTTCTTTATTCTAAGTGGACAATGATCACTTATTCCCTCCACTAGATATACAGCTTGAACCACTGGCATATTATCCAGCCACTCTCCATTTACAAATGCCCAATCAATTTGTGAAAAAACTCTATTATCACCATGTTTGTCATCCCATGTGTATCTACAACCTCCACATGGTAACTTCATGAGTTCACAAGAATCAATACATTCTTGGAAGTCCACCACTTCACCCATAGTAACTGGAAGTCCTCCTATTCTATCATCTGCTTGCAGGACAGAGTTGAAATCCCCTGTTACCAACCATGGTTGCTTTATTCCTCCACTCATACTTTCTAAGTGTTGCCATAAACTTCTTCTTTCTTCCCTTGTATTAAAAGCGTACACATCTGTCATATAAAACTCCTTCTGCAGAACAATATCTGTAACTAGACATGTTATGCTTTGGGCAGTACCACTTATGTACCTGACTTGATAGTAATCAAGTCTCCATGCTACAACTACTCGACCATTATAATGGTACTCCAGATTTGTAATGTACTTCCATCCTCCAAACATATTGTTTATTATTTTCTCCATATTGCCAGTTTTCACCTTAGTCTCTAGTAAGTTTACTAAACCTATATTTTCATTAGTACAAAGGAGTTTTACCTCCTTTTTTTGTTAGGAGCATTTAAGCCCCTAACATTCTAGCTTAGCATGCTATCCATGACCTTTTGGAGATAGGATAGTGCCTCCCCTATTTGAGACTTGTCTGCTTTGTGATTGTCTGCTTGTACTGCTCTCACTTAGCACACTGAAAGTGTTGTGTCCTGCTGAAGAATATTGTATTTGTTCCTTAGGAGACTTCCTTGTGTTATGAGGTATCACCCATCCTTCTGCATTGATCTTTCCTCCTATAGTTTTTATTGACTCCTTCTCCCCTACTGGCTTTGTGATTTCAACTCTTGATGCTGCTACTGCTTGGTTATTCTCTCCCTGTTCTTTGTTTGTGTCTTTTACTTCTGTATCAACAGTCTTCTGCTTTGGAGGGCTTGTTTGCTTCTTCCTCTTACAATCTTCCTCTGAGTGCCAATACTTGTGACAATGTTTACATAGTACTGGCTTCCAGTCATATTGGATTCTTTGTTCAATCAATGTACCTTTTTTATTCCTGAATTGCACCTTGTCAGGCAGGGGAGAATCCACATCTACCTCTATAAGGAGTCTAGCAAAATTTAGACCTATCTTGTTCTCTGCATTCCTGTCCACCATAAGGGGCTTGCCTATCATGCTTCCTATCTTGCTGAGCCCTTTAGGACCCCAGTACTTGAAATCCAATCCAGGTAGTTTCACCCAAATTGGAACAGTATAGAGTTCCTCCCTGGTAAACTCCATATCCTTATGCCATTCCTTGACAATGAATGGCTTGTTGTCAAAATGATAAATCCCTCCCTGCAGCACCTTATTTTTCCCAATTACATTGTCAAACCTCACCAAAACTATCCCATTTTTCAGCATTGAGACCTTGTTAATGCCATGTTTACCCCACTGTCTTTGTATGTAACTGTTAAGCACATTGAAGGGAGGGTGTGCTCCCAGCACATAACAGACAATGGTATTTTTCCAGAAATCAATTTCAGATGTAATATCTTCCAGTTCAATCTCACAAATTGTTGTTTCTCCATGCTTACTTGGATTCACATATTCCAATTTGAAGCCAGCATTCGCAACTTTTGTGATGTCAAAGTTATCCCAAATAGATTTCTTAGACCTAGTTTTTGTTACTTCTTCAGCTTCATCTGCCCATAATTTCCTGCCAGTGTTGTTTCGCACTTGATTTCTCCCAGATTGTTATATCTGTATTCCTTCCTCCCATTCCTGCACAACCGTTTTCAATTTTTCCACTTTTGCCACAGCTTCATTTTTCTCGGCCATTACTGTTCCATTGGAGATTGCTTCAATTGCTGAATCAATCTCCAATTGTGATGGTAATTCAAATCTGCATGTCATTTCTTGTTGATTCTCTTCCTTCTCCTTGCCTCGAAATTGCTCAATTTCACCTTCCTTGGTCTCCATTTTTAGGTTTTGACTGTTACTGCAATTCTCCATTACTTCACGATTTACTTGATTTCCTCGCTTCTTAGCCAGATTTGTTGCTTGTTTACATGATTCTCTTGCTTCGATCATCTTCTGAGTAGGAATCCGAGTCCTCTTCCCCATGGATGCGCACGTTTAGTTAACATGCGCCGAGAGAGAAACAGACTTCGCCTAAAAAACCCTTCCTTCCCCAAGGTGTTAAGTTAATAATATGTAATAGTAGTTGTTGCTAATTAGATACTCCCTCCATTTCATATTAGATGAGGTACTTTCCTTTTTAGTCTGTTCCAAAACAAATGACACATTTCTAAATTTGGAAATAATTTAACTTTAAATTCCTCATTTTACCCATTTACCCTTAATGAGAAGCGTTTATAGCCACACAAATGTCATGTCCCCACAAACCTTTTACCCCTTAAGCTTTTAAGACCACAAGTTTCAAAAGTCTTCTTCTTTTTTCTTAAACTCCGTGCCGAGTCAAACTACCTTATCTAATATGAAACAGAGGGAGTAACTTTTTTGCCTCTTCACGTTGGTCCGAAATAAGTGTTCTTTTACATTATCAAGAAGGCCTTAACTTTCTTTTTTGAAAATTTGCCCTTATTTACATACTCCAAGGTGTTAAGTTAATAATATCCAAATTTTAATTAAGGATAATTTAGTCAAAATACCTATTTTTTCTCTAGAAATTAGTATTTTTATAAGGGATATGCCAAAGGCCAAAAAGTGAGATCGGAGGGAATATCTATTTAACTTCCGCACCAAAAAATGACATAACTTAAACAAACCAAAAATCATCCTTTGCATTTATTTCAATTTCCTATGCTTTTGCTGTAATATTTTATTCCACAGTCGACACCAAAGAATCAGTATCCCATGTTTATTGCTCTTTGTTTCATTACTCCAAACAAGTTGAATATTGAGAAATTCTTATTCCAAAGCAAATCCCCCTCTTTTCGAAACTGACCATGTTACTTAATTGTTTACCAGTTTACCACCCTCCCTCTTCATTTCATAAGATATCAATGATTCTCTTGGTATAAATATTTGATTTCTTTTCTCCCGTTTCCCCTCAGGGTCAGCTCGATCTGAAGTTGAATTTTTTTTCCTTTTATCTTTCATTCTTATTTCTACAGCACCAAAGTACAAAACTTGAGTATTATTTTAGCTAGGGAGTAATTAATATCGAGTACTTAATAAGAATCATGGCGGAACAGGTGATCAAGAAAACTTCAAACATTATGAGTATTACTGGATCATCAAAGAGGAGGAATAGTAACAATGGCATTTCAAGAAAGTGTGCTTCCTTTATTAAAGAACAACGAGCCAGGATTTACATTCTACGTCGATGTGCCACCATACTTCTCTGCTGGTATATTCAAGGGGATGATTAAACATGTTGTGAATTATTTTTCTTGAGCCGAGGATCTTTGAGAAACAGCCTCTCTACCTTTACAAGGTAGGGGTAGGGTCTGTTTATATTTTACTCTCCCCAAACCCCACAAATGGGTATATTATTTGTTGATTAAATTCAGCATTCATATCCCAAACTCACAAGTTCTTCAGTACAAATATATATAGCTAGCCTAGACTACTATATCTACTTTCTCCCAAGTATTACTCCCATATTGTTCCCTGGTTTCTTTTGCGGTCTCCCAGTTATTTTTCTCCCTTGTTGATCATGCGCCACTTCACTTTTTTTTTTTTCGTTTTCCTTTTTATCCAATGGATGTGAAACTTGAAATCCATTGGGTTTTTGGGGCACATGAAAATCAGGAGAGGTTTTTTGGACAAAAGGGAAGCTGACAAAGAGCGAACTTCCACGGAGATGTCCAAAAAGAGTTCAACAATTGTATTCTATTTACAGGGCTCTCTTTATGTTTATGTTATAAGTGTATGTAATGCCATCCTAGTGAACTCTCATATTATAATAGACATATCAAGACATAAATCAAATAAAGTAAGGTTTAACAAATGAATATAATAGCCATATCGTGGTGTATGGACTAATTTCTGATTGTGTGATCGTCTCGTCTAACTAATGTACGAAATACAGCTGGACTCCAGAGCATTACTTGTAAGTTTTCCTACGTGTGTGGTCCAATAGGTTTAAGGCCCATAATTAATATTTAATTAATGAGCAAATCTCATCCGTCCGATTGGTTACTTAATGGACGTACCAGATTATATCTAAATTTTTATAAATTGGTTCTCCCTCCACCCATTAGGGTTACCACTTTTCCTACATCTAATTCCATCATTGACGGTTGTGGTAACGTAAGGCTAGGGCTAGAAGATAGAAACCAATTTACCAATTAACGCTTCCGCTTCACGATAATGGCTTCCGCTTCAGGTATGTTTTCTTTAGCGATTATATCTAAGATTATCATGTTCAAGATCCTGGTATGAATTAAAGTTTATGTTTACATGAGGTATCATAAGTCTGGATTGTTTGAACGGTTAATCTTCATAAAGGAATTACATATATTTTAACTATATTTTATGTCACTGCCGCAAAAGTACGGTGCGGGTACCGGACACCGGGTGGGAAACCAAAAAAAAAAGTACGACTCTAACTCTAAAACCTTTAATTACTTTTAAAATCCTGGAACAATTAGATAGACAAATTAAATTGACAAAATTGAAAGATTTATGCTTACTGCTTTTGCACAATAAAACGAGTTGAATTTGTGCTTACCCTAGAGATGACTAGATCTAAATTGTATATGTGTTTTGGAACAAAGGAATTACAGAGGACTTAGAACTTTCACGGCATAATAACATGTTTGTTTTAATAGTAAGTTTTGGATTTGGTCAAAATCCTTTAAAGATGTTTTGGGTTAACTTTTCAGGCACTAAGCCAAAAACATTTATTAGCCTAGTTATGTAAAATTATGAATAATGTTTAACTCCGTATGGTGGTTGGTTCATCTTAAGTTCAGCCCTACGTTTTCAGTGAAGGTAACAAAGTAATTTATTTTGGGCTACTAAAATTGTTTCGACTATTAAGTCGATAGACCTATTTATTATTTATTTTATGTATGTGATTAATGTTTATATAGTTTAAAGTATTCACATGCATAAGATCTTCTAATAGTTATTTTATATGTGCATTATGTTCATATAGTTTGTTAGTCACCAAAGTGACCAAACTAGCATGTTTAAGAAATTACGCATGCATAAATTGTAGTTTATCCATAAACTAATGAAATGCCTATTATTGAAAATAAATGGATGAACTAACTTTCACTATACTAGAACTTAAGGATTTACCCAAAGGTGGATCAATTATTCTATAAATAATGAGTATGATGAGGTAAATTAATATTCTTTAGTTAAATATATATTGTCTGTCCAAAGATGTCATATATGTTTGGTTAAGAATATTTAATTACCTATTAAAGACTAAATGGCATTTAACTTATGATAGTGTATCATAGTATTTACCTAAAGGAGAATTGCGATATGCTTTAACTGTTTTGCTGAATCCATATTTATTTGTGAGCATGTATTATTTATTTTGCAGCTATTCCTCTTCATTCGCATGCTTCGTCTGTTACTGTGTTCAACGAATTGAACTTCTCTGAATGGCACGAACAAGTCCAGTTCCACTTAAGTGTGATGGATCTTGACTTGGCTCTGCTGAATGATAAGCCTAATTCCATTACTGAGTCGAGCAGTGCGGATGAGAAGTCTTACATAAAGCATGGGAACGCTCAACAGGCTGAGCCTTATGTTTATGTGAATGACTATTGCCAACAACATTAAGAGTACTACGCAGACAAAAAGTGCCAGGGAATACCTGAAGTTTGTGGAAGAACGTTTTCCTTCTGTAGATAAGTCTCTCGCTGGTACACTAATGGCTGAACTCACGACCATGAAGTTTGATAGGTCGCGTAGTATGCAAAATCATATCATCGAGATGACTAACATTGCAGTAAAACTTCAGACCTTGGGGATGAAAGTTGATGACTCCTTCTTGGTTCAGTTAATTCTGAACTCGTTGCCTCCTGAGTATGGACCTTTTCAAATTAACTATAACACTATTAAGGATAAGTGGAATGCTAGTGAATTGTCCAGTATGCTTACTCAAGAGGAGACAAGACTTAAGAAACAAGGGAGTCATTAAATTAACCTCATGGGTCAAGGAGCTGGTAAAGGACTTAAAGTGAAGGCCAACAAGTTCAAGAAGAAGAAAGCACCTGCTAAAGCTCCACATGATGCTAAGAAGGAACATAAGGTAGATACGTGTCGTTTCTGTAACAAGGTAGGACACTATCGGAAAGATTTCCTGAAACGTAAAGCTTGGTTCGAAAAGAAAGGTGCAACTAGTGCTTTTGTATGTTTCGAATCAAATTTAGTGGAAGTTCCTAATAATAGTTGGTGGCTTGATTCTGGTGCAACTGCTCGTGTATCTACTACGTTGCAGGGATTCCTTACGATCCAAACTACAAATCCAAATAAGGATTTCTTATTCATGGAAAATCGTATGAAGGCTCTAATTGAAGGCATAGGGACTTATCGTTTGATCATGGAGACTGGACGTTACCTTGATCTATTATAGACTCTTTATGTACCTTCAGTTTCTAGGAATTTGATTTCTCTTTCAAGACTTGATGTTTCTGGATTTGATTTAAAGTTGGAAATGGATGTTTCAATTTATATAAGAATGCTATTTTTTTATGGTTTTGGTGTTCTTAGTGATGGTTTATATAAATTGAAACTCGATGTTGGTTTTTCTGAATCCCTTCTTACTGTTCAACATAATATTGAAATTAAACGTAGTTCACTAAATGAAATTGTTGCTTACTTGTGGCATAGAAGTTTGGGTCATATATCCAAATAAAGGTTAGAAAGATTAGTAAAGAATGAGATTCTTCCGAATCTAAATTTTACTGATCTTAATATATGTTTGGATTGCATTAAGGGAAAGCAAACCAAGCATAGTAAGAGAGGTGCCACAAGAAGCACCCAGCTTCTTGAAATTATATATACCGATATTTGTGGACCCTTTGATGTTCCATCTTTTGGTGGAAAAAATATTTTATCACTTTTATCGATGACTTTCACGTTATGGATACATCTATTTGCTGAAAGAAAAATATCAAGCAACAGATGCTCTCAAGGTGTTTGTTAATGAGGTTGAAAGGCAATTAGAGAAAAAGGTAAAAATTATTAGGTCAGATAGAGGTGGTGAATATTATGGGAAATATAATGAATCAGGACAATGTCCAGGTCCATTTGCAAAGTTCCTGGAGGAATGCGGCATATGTGCACAGTATACTATGCCAGGAACACCTCAACAAAATGGTGTTGTTGAAAGGCGTAATCGAACACTTATGGATATGGTTAGGAGCATGATGAGTAATTCCTCATTACCCAAATCATTGTGGATGTATGCTATTAAAACCGCTGTATATTTATTAAACAGGGTTCCTAGTAAGGCAGTTCCAAAGACTCTTTTTGAACTGTGGACAGGAAGTGAACCTAGTTTAAGGCACCTGCATGTTTGGGGTTGCCCAGCGAAAGCTAGAGTTTATAATCCACAAGAAAAGAAATTAGATTCTCGAAAAGTAAGTGGTTACTTATTGGTTACCCAGAGAAATCTAAAGAGTATGTATTTTTATGTTCAAACCATAGTTCGAGAATTGTTGAAACCGGTAATGCAAGATTTATTGAGAAAGTTGAAGTTAGTAGGAGTGTTGGAAATAAAAAAGGTGAGAGTCAATGTTCCATTACCCACGAATGTGCCTACTTCCACACAAATACCAAATTTTATTCCAGTTGTTGAAGAACACTTTGACAACACCGAGCAACATTTGGATGAAACACTTCATGAAGAAACTAACTCACAAACATCTGACACAAATGAACCACAAGAAATACCATTAAGAAAATCCCAAAGAGTTAGAAAATCGACTATTTCGGATGATTACGTGGTTTATTTGCCAGAGTCAGATTTTAAGATTGGTCTTAATAAGGATCCGGTTTCATTTTCACAAGCCATAGAAAGTAATGAGTCTGACAAATGGATTGATGCCATGAAGGAAAAGTTAAAATCCATGGAATACAATAAAGTCTAGGATCTTGTTGAATTGCCAGAAAGTTCAAAAAGAATCGGGTGTAGATGGGTCTTTAAGACCAAACGTAATTCAAATGGTAATATTGAACAATATAAAGCTAGATTTGTTGACAAGGATTATACTCAGAAAGGAGCCATTGATTATAAAGAGACCGTTTCACCGGTCTCAAAGAAAGACTCGTTAAGAATTATTATGGCTTTGGCGGCTCATTATGATTTAGAGTTACACCAAATGGATGTGACAACTGCCTTTCTTAATGAAGACCTCGAGGAGGAAGTTTACATGGACCAACTAGAGGGTTTCGAAACTAAAGGAAAATGTCAAATTGTGTGTAAACTGAAGAAGTCAATATATGGACTTAAACAAGCCTCACGGCATTGGTATATAAATTTTAATGATACCATAACATCTTTTGGATTTATGGAAAATACCGTTGATCGGTGTATATACCAAAAGATCAGTGGGAGCAAGTTTATATTTTTAGTCCTATATGTGATGATATTCTACTTGTTGCTAATGATTTAGGCATACTGCGTGAGAGTAAAGATTTTCTATCTAAGAATTTTAAAATGAAAGATATGGGTGAGGCATCTTATGTAATAGGAATATAAATATTCTGTGAGAGATCACAAAGATTATTGGGATTGTCTCAGAAAGGCTATATCGAAAGAGTTCTAGATAGATTTAACATGAACAATTGTTCAGCAGGAATTGTTCCAATTAAAAAGGGGGACAAATTTAGTCTCATACAATGCCCTAAGAATGATGTACAACAAAATAAATGGAATCAATTCCTTACTCTTGTATTGTTGGTAATCTGATGTATGCTCAGACTTGCACAAGACCATATATTAGTTTTGCGGTCGGAATGCTGGGAAGATATCAGAGTAAACGCAGGAATTAATCACTGGAAAGCTGCAAAGAAAGTCTTGAGGTACCTGAAAGAAACGAAGGATTACATGCTCGTGTATAGGAGATCCAAGCATTTGGAAGTTGTTGGATACTCGGATTCAAATTTCGCTGGATGTATTAACACTAGAAAGTCCACGTTTGGTTATTCTTTCCAATTAACTAAAGGAGCAATATCGTGGAAGAGTGCCAAACAGTCTGTCATTGCTACATCCACGATGGAAGCTGAATTTGTGGCATGTTTTGAAGCCACAATTCATGCATGATGGCTGCAAAACTTTATTTCAGGACTTGGGGTTGTCGACACCATTACCAAGCCGCTGAAAATTAACTGTGATAATTCTGCAGCAGTATTCTTCTTCAAGAACGATAAGTACTCCAAAGGTGCCAAGAACATGGAATTAAAGTACTTTACCGTCAAGGAGGAAGTTCAGAAACAAAGAGTGTCTCTTGAGCATATTAGAACTGATCTCATGATTGCAGATCCGTTAACAAAAGGTTTACAGCCAAAGATATTTAAAGAACATGTACATAGAATGGGTCTTAGCTGTGTTTATGATTGATGTATTTATGATGTTTTGATACTCTGAGCTCATTTATGTGTTTCTGATATACATTAATGATTTCCTGTTTCTCATAATAGTGTGCACATTTTTGTTTTGAGATATTACATGATAAGTCTCAATAAGACATTATTGTGGATCATAATATTTTATAGCTTATGGACCTGATACGATGAGTTATTGATGTTGTAGTATATGGAAGGGAGTATGTAAATAAATAATATATGTAACCGCCATAACTCACATTTAGTAGTTTGTATTATGGTATTTATGATGGACATTATAGAAAAGATTTATTATGCGCAACTAATATTTATATTATTAAATATTAATAATATGTGATTATTGGGCCAAATGGGAGAACGTAAGTTTTCCTACGTGTGTGGCCCAATAGGTTGAAGGCCCATAATTAATACTCCCTCCTGTTACGAAATTATACATTTCGTAACTTTAATTGTTTCTTTTAGTCTTAACATTTTTAGTCCATAAGTTTGTCTATTTTCAATTAGTTGTTAAGTCCCCAAATTAGCTAGCTGACTCAAGGGACACGTGTTTTAGTTTAATTGCTTTGTCTAGATATTTCCAAAAGGGATGCAGCTGTCATATTCCACTATTTAGGGCAATGATTGTACAAGAATTGGGTACTGAAAATACATGACATATTTCCCCTTTTGTTAATTTTTTACTTTCTACTTAATTTCCTTGTCTTCAACGTAGCAATTGCTACATTTGGTATCAAGAGCCTACCTAGGCAACTATGGTGGATCCTCCGCGTGATACTGGGGGTAGTGAGAGCTCTACAGACCTTGAGCTTCAACTAAAATATATAATAGAAGTTTCAAACAAGCGCATGAGCCAGATCGAAAAAATGCAGAAACAAAATGTTGAGTCCAACCAAAGGATGGAGGACTGGGTAATGGACATGCATCGCAAGGAGGAGTCACGCTTGGCTCTAGCTTTGGGGAGTACATATTCAGAAATGGGCTGGCCGGAGTTTTTCGGCCGGCGTCAACTCCTAACACCCCAATCTACTCCTCGTCGGCTCCGGCGACACCAAGGGTTTCTAATGTAAGTAGAGATTTCCCTACAAACCCACTCCCAATGATCTCTCGTGTAAGTTCTGGTCCAACCTTGACTGAAGCCCTAGCCTTGCCGACCTTGAACCCTTATTTCCATCCTCACTCTCTTACATCTACTGTGAACTCCACCATACCTGTCTCTCTCAGCTCCGCTAGACCTTTTACCACACTTTCAGCCACTAGCCGGCCTTTTACGCCGTCACAGGCCTCATCTTTTACTGGACCATTGACTTTTGGTACATATGTGCCCATATCGGTAACAAAGTCCCATACGCCAAGCCAAGCCCAAATGCCCATTAACCAAATTCCCACTTATCCACCCCAAAACCAAATTCCCACATATCCAACCCAAAACCATCCTCCATCGACCCAACAACCCATTTACACTTCTCAAACACCAATACCCACAACCCACTTACCCCCATACAGTGAGAGGACCTTGCCTACTCTGTTCTCACACATGGATAACTCTCCTCACAGCCTGCGTCACTTGAA